CTATCCCGGTGGAGTGAATAACACTCCTAACGGATCCGGGCCTCCGGGCGATTGAAGTCAGGGCCGCCAACCCCTACCGGCGAATCGGGCAAACACCCTTGGGAGGTCGCCGGACCCCCTTTCCCCCCATTGGGGAAGTGTGTGCTCCCACTATCCCCGCAGAAGGAAACGCGCGCTCTTAGCACCCGCACCACCAGCAACCTAGTGGCACGGGTGAGCCCCCTCACCACGTCAAGGTGGCGCACGACGAGGGGGTCCCTGGGGGTCCTAAACAGCATAAGTTAACTTAACCTAACCTTTTTTTTTTTTGTTTTCGAGGACCTGACAGTTTCCCTCTGAGGTCTCCTCGAGTGTGGAAATCTTCAAAAGACCATTCCCGTCGTGCAAGGGCTGAGAATTGCATCCCCTCAGCCTGACGGGAAATAGTGTCGGATTCACAGCCTGACCGACTTTTGTCGAGATCAGACTGTGCCTACCGACTAAAACCACCCCCGACGAAATCCACATGCGTCGCCATATTAATAAGAGTCCAGGGCTTACGGACTAGCGCATATCTCCTGTCGTCTCACGTAGGCTGATCCTTAACAGGATACGGCTCCCATACGGGCAGGTATTCGTCCCGCCTTCTTTCACTCAAATACCACCTTCACGGACCGGTAAAAGTCCTGTATTGAGACGGGTCTGGGCCTAACCGGTTAAGCTGGGACCAAGACCCACTCACCTTTCTCGAGCTCTTCTGAGGGGGAGGGGAGACAGACATCTCAAACCCTCGTCCTCTTCTTCCTTTGGATACTCAGAGCCCCCCCTCCGAGTCCGACCCCATCTCTGGGGACGACAGCAGAGGTAGACGCTTTGGTCGCGTAATATCTGCCCTATTCACGCACTTCCCGCGCATTTTGTCCCTCAAAGGAGGGATTGGGGGGCATGTCTCACTTCCCGACCTATGGCCCAAAGGACGTCCACTCAGGGCACATAAAGAGCAGTGCGGCTTCGCCCCACAGATCCTCGCTGTATGGCCCTCCCTGCCGTAGCGATAACAACAACGAGCCCGATCCACACTAGAAGGGCATCGTCGTTGTAGGTGTCCACGTCCCAAGCACTTGAAGCACTGGGCTTCTCTACTCCTAAGATGCTCAACACACACCTGAGCCCATCCTACCTTTACATGGCCCGCATCCGCAAGCTTCTCAGCCGCATCCGCGGGGCATTAGACACAGACCAAGTTGGGGCCCACGCGTCTCTTGGTCTGAATCTCCCTAACCTTGATCTCGTCAAGAGCGCATCCTTCCCCCCAGGGAGATCGCGTCTACTATGTCCTTTCGAGAACTAAAGTCCTCCAGGCCAACGAGTCGGATATGACTTCTCCTCGAGAGCCTGGAGACCCTGACTCCACCTGACAGGTCTCGCGTCGCAACACGGATCCTAGATACCAGGACATCCGCCCTCTCTCTGGAATCCGGACCGGGGACTTTCAGGAGGATTCCTCCCTTCATTGTCTTCCTCATCTTGAAGGCCTTGAGGTCAAGATCTTCAAGTCGAACTCTTTCCTTAGCTGTTTTTAGGACCTCTGCATAGGTGCCAGAAGGAGAGTAAATCTCAACAACAGCATTCCGTGAAGTCCTCTTCCTATCCTTGGTGTTGGGGAAGCCACTTATGAAGGGCTGGTACTCCCGCATCTTCTTTATCCCATTGGTGGGGGTGAGAGGGGTTGAAGGAGGCCTCTATGGCTCTTTGTCCCTCCTTCCTCCATCTTCCTTCTCCTCCCTGACCCATTTTTTGGGCGGTTCTGCCTCCGATAGAGGGAGGTCGGGCCATCCACCTTTTGGGTTAAGTCCCGAGAGGTCCTCCTCCTCCATTGGAGGAGAGAGGAGGACCTCCGGAGCTTCCAATTCCTTCCTCTTCCTAATCCCATCCGCAACGCGAACCGTAACAGGAGCGACATGTCCGCCCTGCTCGAGTCGCGCGATGCGATCCTCCATCTTTTTTATGGATTCATCTATAGAGACCAACAATTTTCTGGCCTCCATTGAGATCCTAAGTCCCTCGTCCTCCTTGCCCACAGGATTCTGAGGGACATCCTCATTCTCAAGATCCGATGTGGAGTCAAATGGTGGTTCAGATTTAACCAAGTCTTCG